CTATCCAGATCATAGTAATGATTTTGAAATGGTGGCACAACATTTTGGATTTATTTATTGTGAATTGGAGGAAAGCAAGAGGTAACTATTGGTGAGTAGACTGAAAATGAAGGAGATAATTCATATGGTGATTAAATATGTTGTAAAAAAATTACATTTGGCAGTATTAGTAGATTTCAAATATCATACTAATATTAACATAGTTACAATTTATCAAGGGCATGGTCATGCATTGCATTTTAAGACATTATATGCTGTTACTGCTGTAATTTAAATTATAATTTATCACTTTTTACTTGGATTTTACTAAAGCAGTCACAACAAAATTGTTTGACGGAAGCACCAGCTTAAATAGATCTCAATAATTGTCCAAACTCATAAACAATGCTTCTAACAGTCTTATACACCAGAAAGGAAGGCTGATCTTCTTCAATTTAAACTGGCAATATCAAAAGATCCTAACCCCATACTCCACATCTCTTGCTGATAGTATTATATGCTCAGGCTGTATTTCCGCTATCAACTCTTTTTGATCAACACAAGATCAATCATTAGATATTCTACAATTTCCCTGATAATCAAACACAACAATGCATCCAGGACTTCTAGCAGATCAAGGAATTATAACAAAAATCTATTCCCGATTAAATGCTTTTCCTTTACTTTTGTTATGGACAGAGAATTTCAGTGATTATCTATAATTTAAACTTAATTAATTTCTAATTGTACAACTGCTAGACATATCCAAAACCAAGCATAAGGCAAAAGAAAAATCTTAAAGTTTGTAAGGGTGTCTGCTGCAGCTCAACTGACAATATCTGTTTCTTGGCCTACATGTAACTCCAAATGTACAACAATGTGGTTGCCTCTTAATTACGATCTGAAATGGCCCAGCAAGCCACTCAGCTAAAGGGCAATTAGGGATAGGAAATACCCTGCCAGTGACACTCACACTCCTCAAAGAATAAACAAAAATCCCTCTTTATTGCAAGGTTTCTAGTTCAAGTCCCACACCAGGCCTCAGACACAAGAATCTAGGCTGACAGTTGAGTGACGTTTTGAGAGGACATTGTACTGAGGAATTTGCTGTCTTTCGAAGGAGATGTTAAACCAAGGTGCCATCTGTCTGCTCAGTGGATGTAAATGATCCCATGGCACTACAGCAGAGGAGTTATTCCTAGTGTCCTGGTCAATATTTATTCCTCAATCAACAAGACAAGAAATGAATTATCTCATCATTATCACATTGATGTCTGGCAGAGTTTACTGAGTGCAAATTAGCTGCAGAGTTTCCTACATTTCAACAGTGATTACACTTCAAAACGTACATCATTCACTGCAAAGTGCTTTTGGATGTCTAATGATGATGAAACATTACATAAATGCAAGATTTTCTTCTTTACACACATTCATTCAAATCTTGCAACATGAGCATGGTTTAAGCCTCCAGTCAACTGACCAGGTCATATAACTTTTGTTTTTTATTCATTCATATGATATGAGCACCACAGGCAAAGCCAGCATTCATTGTCCATCCCAATTTGCCGTTGAGAACAGCTTTTATACAAGTACAGTAACAGCATGCTCAAATTAATTCTAAATAGACAAGGCAAGCCAACAAAAAGCAACATTTGTAAGCCTTGGAGAAAGTGTGCAATTGGACAGTTCCCAATGACTCATAGGTCTGAATTGATCAAAAGAATTCTTCATGTTCAGGAGTAGGAGCATTAGTTGGTGAGAAAGACCATAGAAATAACTAATATTGATTAGTTAAGAACAGAATAAAACATTTCTGCCAGGTCTGAGATGAAAAAGTGGGACTGAAACAGCTAAAAAGATAGGATTATTTTTATAAAGAATGTTTTAATATTTTCTAATTTGATACTTTCCAAAATGGCAAGAATTTTTTTGGATATTTTTAATGTCTCCAGTAAAAATAGTTCGCAGAAGTAGAAAATATATCAGAAATATCCTGCAAGAAAACTTGTAACATTTAATGTTGAAGCCCTACTCTGGTAAACTCCAGCATAATGAATGTTGAGAGAAGGTTTAAACTAAAATAATCAAGGCCTACATTTCTGACTCATAATTGGTGTTGAAAGTAATAGCTATCTATGCCTTTAGGAGGAATGAATGTTTCCAACTGTAGATAAAAATTGCAAACAAATGGAGTTTTACAAAATGAGAAGGATACTCCATGCGAAGAAATTATCAGCAGAAAGAAACAGTTAACACGCACTTTAGAGGACTTAGGTTCAATCGAGAAGGTTCATTTGTAGTATTTTTAACCATTAAATTCAGATTTGCTAATGTATGTATGTGAGTCAAAGTACAAAAATGAATTATAAGATAAACATATTTCTATCTTGTCAATTGGCAAAGTTGAAATATTTTTCCAGCACTTTGGTATTCTTTAACTGAAGTACAGGGATGGGATTTGGTGGTTATTCTGTGTCCAATGTTGATTTCAATTTAAAGTTGTTTTTCAAAAAAAAAATGTGCTATGTGCATGACTGGTGCCAAGGTATAAAGTGGATTTGGTAAGAATGAATGAATGATTTTATTGTCACCTGCATTTTACAGTGAAAAAAAACAGTAAAATACAGTGAAAAGCTTTTCCACTGTCGCCACGATCCGGCGCCATTTAATCCAGGTACTGCAGAAAAGTAAAACCAAAAATCTCACTGAACACAAAGCTGGAATTTAAAAAAAGGTGCTTTCCAGAGTAAAAATCCATAACATGCAAAAATAGATTGTTTAACAGACAGGTATCACAACTATACTTGTGAGTAGTCTTAGTCTTCATTGTATTATTTCACCTCTCGTTGTTGGTTGATTCATGTAATTAATTGTACCTAAAAGTAGGTACATTAAGTAAATAGACTATCCCACTCAAGGAGTAACACAATGACCATTTAAGTCTGTGAAGGGCCACTTGCACATTTTTTTTGTTTACATTTACTTTTAATGCTGGACAAATACCCATGCAGTCCAACTCAATCAAGGTAGTATTTTAAATAGAGCCTCAATTTAGCTACATGATGGCCTAATTATCATTATTAATGATGCCTGTCCAGTGTGCCCTGGTTCCTCTGTTTTAAAAAAAACACTAAGACTTTACATGCAGCTTGCCTCAAATTTCTGCTGAGAAGTAATATTTTTCAGTCAAATCAATATCGTAGCTAACAGGGTGGTGAATCTGCAGAGTCAGGTTCCTTGAACAAGGACAACTTAAAGCTCCTCTGCCTTTACTGTGAGTTTATCTTCCATTTATTTAACATTGTTGGATAGGAAACTGGACTTTAAAAAGTAAAAATAATATGTAAATGTGTAAAGTATAACTCTAGCTGGATGCACCAAAAATATACCTGTTTAGAAGAAATTCTTTCTAAGGAAATAGAAAAGATTTGTTTAATATCATCTAATTTACTTGATTTCTTAGTTATGTGGAAATATTTGGTTGAAATCTATCAATTGACTGGCACACAATGGTTGCACTAATATTTATTTCAGACATACTTAATATCAAGTGACTGAAAAAAAATTATAAATATATACCTTATAAAGTCAGCAGTAGCACTTGGCTCTGAAGCACAGGGCTGTGAACTTAAGTCCAGTCCAGGACTTTGGCACATACTGAGAAGCACTGTCATGCAACATTAAAGGTGCCACTTTTTGAAAGTAATGTTAAATGGTAATCCAACACCATAAAAGAAAGGAATGTGGGAATTCTCTCATGTCCTTGTCCACATGTACCCCTTAAGCTATACAGGCTGATAGGTCACTTATCTTAGCTGTAGAATGATGGTGGGTGCAATTTTTCTGTCTTGTTTAGCTGCATTACAATGCTGAACACCTTTCAAAAGTAATGAATTGTTGAATCATTTTGAGGTATGCAGAGAATGTGAAAAATGCAGTGGAAATGCATGGTCTTTCTGTCTTTTTATGACTGCAATTTTTTATTCGTCATCTTTCCAGCTGATTTACTCATTGTATTCAATTTTGAATGTTGCTATTTATAGATTTATTTTAAAAAATCAATCTGCCCAGAAGTTTTGTTACACATATCCGAAGCAGGTGGGACTTGAACCCAGGCTTCCTGGCATAGAGGTAGGGACACTACCACAGAGCCATCAACCTGTTCAGAGATATTATTACATGCCTCAAGAGCAGGCGGATCTTGAACCCAGGCACACTACCACGGCACCACTTTGCTGATTTATATGTGTGGTTTGTGAAATGGCATCAGGGTTAGAATTATTGGAGCTGGATGATCTATCAAGGTAGAGGTAGTGAAGCAAGGCTGGTAAAAGGTGATGGAATGGTATTTTTGTTGAAAAGATACAAGTGTATATAAGGCCTATTGTCACAAAGCTGGGCAATATCTTTATAAATTGTGGGTGGTACCTGGATGCAGATATCCCATCCTCATTTGTGATAGATACCATTTTTTCCAGAAAAGGACAGGAGGAGGGCATGAATCACACAGGTGAGAAGCCCAAACTCTGCAGGACTTCTTAAAATTAATGCCAAATTGAAACATTTTAACTAATTCATATGCTTTATGGAAGACATGAATTGATAGAGTATGTTTTTGAAAGGTGAATAGTGTCCGTGTAAGTGTCATGATCAATGTTATGTCCCCAAACTTTTGACAAGAAAATGGCTGAAGTAATCAGTTGGAATTAAATTAATATCCTTTTGGAAATTTCTTTGATTGATAGGCCATCTAATGTAGTGTAAAGAAAAATTATAATCTGTTCCTGCAGCTTCGATCAAATCATTTGTTGACATTTCCCAATGTTTGTTATTATAGCTAAAGTCATTATGAATGCTTGGCTGAGTTTTAAACTAAAAACTACAAAAGCAATTATATCAATGTAGGAGCTGAGTTCATATTTTAGTTGATAGTTTAAATAGGCTGTCAAAGAATTAGCTGCCTTTGAAATATTTACTGAATAAAACATATATATTTTTACAACAGATTGAACACTTGAGGGGATGTAAAATATTTTTTAATGAATTTCATGAATGGGAGTTTTATCAATATCAAATGTGTGAATGAGTGAAACCTGTACTTGATTGTTATCGGTTTAATCTTTTCACCTCCACATGGCTCCTGAGATCTTCTGATAGTGGATACTGCATGAGTAGCTATGAATGTGGCATGGGGTATGAGCTTGAATAGAGGGAACATGCGGGTGGGCGAGTGGGCCATGAGTTGGTATGAAGTACCATGGATGTGAGGGGTAAAAGCTAAATCAACTGGGACAAAGTTTCAGGGAGCTAAGACAGACCTTCTAACTAGTCTGCCTTAACAATCTCCCACTCCCGTGGTGGCTTACAATCTACTTTATGGAATTGGCAAGTCTGACTGTATCCCTCATCACCACATCCCACATCTTGACTCTTCCTAAAACCACCTGCTGCACCTGAAAATTGGGTGCAGTGGAGTTCTTGAAACCAAGCCTCAATTTTCAGACTCAAGGGATGTACCTCAATAATGAAATTCTGGCCCAAATATCTCATGCCTGGTTATAAATGTATTGTTAATATCTAGAGTGGCCGTTGTTCCATGATTAATTAATTAGTATGATCAATTTTTCTCTGAAATTACTCAGGGGAATCCAAATAATACCTGTATGGTTATAATAATTTAGAAATTTCTGCTGTGGCTGACCAGCTTTCAATTGTTAACATCTAATTGAAGAAGAATTGTTTATTAAACTTAGGAAAAACTGAATTTCAACACAATTGATATCTGTTCAAAGAAACGTATCAATAACAATTCAAGTTTTTGTTGGACTACCAAGACTAAATTTTCGAACTATCCAATCCTTGCCCCAGCATTGTTGCATCTTATTAATTCTGTGTCCTGTTTATGTTTAAATTTATTGAGTAGTAAATTGACAACAATTTCAACACTTCATGCCAACAATAACTTTGGAAGAAGTCTCACATTGTAGTGGTTTACAGAACTATGAAAATTAATTGACAAGATACGTTGTTTAAAAATCAAATGCAAAAGCCACAAGTCTCAGGGTGGGATTATCCCCATGAGCTTCAGAACCCAAGAGTCAGCCTCAGATGGTGGACAGATATCCATTCTGTGGTTGGAAACAGTCATTCATTTAAGATTTCCCTCAATTTGTCATTAGCCTGAAGCTATCTCTTCATACAATGAAGAACAACAGGTGGCCTTTTTAAACTGGAGAGCCAACACAAGGCCTTCCAGCTTGGAAGCAGTGGTGGATGACAGGACAAGTAATTATGGACACCTGAAGATGCATGTATCCTCTCCCAGATTTTTTAAAGTTTAGAAAAATAGGCCCCTGCAGGCGGCTCACCATTGTTTAGGGTTGAACTGCGCCTGTAAATGATACCAGGAAGACAAGAAAGAGATGTAATGCCCCCCTGAAGAGCTGGCCCTAAATCCAGCCATGGAAGGCTGTACCCAGAGAGCTACGCTGATGCCTATTGCCTCCAGGCAGCTGGAAGCTCACTGAAAAATTCTAGTCAGCCTTCAGTAGTAGCCTTAATAAGTTATCCAACACCCTTCCTCCTGTGCTCCTGATCTGGACTCCAGAAAAATGGCCCAGGTGCAGCTTGGAGCCAGGGAACTAGCGTGTCTCCAACCACATATGTTTCTGCACCTGCCCACCTCTGTGTCATACCACAACAGGTCCAAAACTGTCTTCTTGAATTCAAAATTCATTCAGTAAGCCCTGGAATACTTGTGTAATGTTGAAGAGGTGTATATTATCATGTCTGGAGAATTATTTTTATTTATATTTTATATATTATGAAATAAATTTCTCAAATGGTCAACTTGGAGCCAGGAATATCTCTGAATTAATAAAACAGTCATTTACAGATTCTTATTTTGTTTGGTGCAGTAATAATACCTCTTATGCAAAAGGTAAAATATTCTCTATCTCCCTTTAAGCTACTGCAGTCTTCAGAAGAATATATCTAAAAAAAGTAGCTAAATGTTATGAAATAAATATGAATGAATCTAATGAGTTAACTTCTGTGGCATAATTGTTGGCTTGTGCAGCTTATTTTAATCAAAATACTTTGAATGTTTCCATAACAATAAAAAAATTGTAGTTTGAAAATTCACTTGAGTAGACCAACAAAACAATATACTGTAAACTCAGTGTCTCAAATACATTCAGAATAAATCCTCATCGATAACCAAATGGACATATCGATGTCTTAAATTTCTTGATGTCAGAACTAAGGTCATGTTACCTTCCTCGCAGTTTGTTTACAGTTCTTCTCTTCAAATATTGCACGTTAAATTGTTGAAGTAATGGGGAAGCATATTTCATCATTCTGTCATGCCACAGAGCTATTTTATTTATGCCATTAATTTTGACTAATCCAGTATTGTTATCTAGGAAAGGCAAAGTGTGAAGAAGTTGACCGTGTTCTCAGTAAAAGCTGACTTTTTCAGATTGAAGTACACCAGTTTTCTTTTATGCAATTTCATGTTTTCTCTTATTTAAACTGACAAATAGGCATTCAAATAAAAAAGTGAATAAATAAAATGGCGACACTGATGTTTAGCAAAATCACCATAGCAACCAGAATAGGATTGGAGCCCTAAAAGAGAAAAGAAACATATATGAGACACAGTAATTAATCATTGCAAATAAATGTTTATTTATTTTCTCTATTTTTTAAGAATAGAATTTAGCTAAAGTTTTCATGAATAGAAAATGGTAATTTTAATAGCAGAAACATCCTAATGATTAATACTCACCACTGTCAGCCCTCTATGAAGTAAATACTTTCAAAGAATTAGAATTAATCTGCATATATTCAACCTTCTGTTAGTATTTCATTGTTTAAACAATAGTATTCAAATGAAAGCAAATTAGAAAACAGAGGACAAGTTACTCCTAATATAAAACAGGCAATGCCACATTTTCTCTGTTAATGACTTTTATTGAATTACGTGTCAAAGTCTTTAAGTCTGATGATGATCCTGTTGATTGGACATTAATTATAAAGAAAAATAACTTGCACTTTCTTTTAAGGAAAGAAAATTTCATCCTTCTTGCCCTTGAAAACCTAATGCTGTTTTGGAGAGTAAAAATCTAGAACATTGGCTTAATGGTTTCATAGATGCATGTGCAATAATTAGTATCGATCCAATTCTAAGAGTGTTGTGTTTTTAAGTGTATCATAATATCTTACTAAATGATGGTGGCCTAATATCATATTGAGTTATATCAAGGGAACATTGCTGTATCTAATATTATTGTTCAAAATTCTACATTTGCACGTTTTTGTTCCAATTTGCAATCATGAACAATTTTTAAAGTCGCTGAGATTTAGATAGGGATGCCCATCACTTCTTGTGTGATTTCCAGCTCACTAGTTCCCAAATAATTTTTCTGCAGCTTTGACTGGTGACTAGTCTCATTGTTTGCACAATTCAAACACAATACAGGTGATGTATCTCAAATAGGTCTTTTGGAATTAGATTAGTATTAAGCATAAAACAATTTGTGCTGTCTTTAGTTCACTACTGTGCTATAGCACAGAGATTTTCCCCTTAGATTCTTAATGCAGCAGGCTAAGAAATAGGAAATATTTAACTGTGCACACTTGTTCACCATATAAGTGTGTTTATGACTGGTACATGGAGGGGTCGAGGTATAACCACCTAATAAAACATACAGCTTACAGAACATGAGGCATTTGAAAATATATATATTTCTCAAAAATAGGAGGGAAATAACTTCATAAATTACTTACGACAAGAGAAAGTCAATGTCTGAGTTAGCCATCAATAATTGTAACAAGTATTTCATATCAATTTTTAGACTGTTTGAAGAATATATTACTATTGCAAAGCTTTTGTGCAGTTTTTATTAAGTAAACCAAATTCTACATTAAAATCCATGTGATGCTTCTGTTATTGGCCTCAGTGGGATATGAAGATATAACTGATAAACTCTTGAGTTCCTCATCTATTTGTCCCTTGTATTCTATACTGAAAATTAATTCATAGTGAGGATAAGGCAATTATATCATTTAATAAAGTTCCGTGGTAATAAAGAGGTTAAAAGCTATTTGCTTTATACAGGCCATCCACCACCATCTAAAAATAATTTATTAAGTTCCACAAGAACTTAGATTAAGCAGTTAATGCAAGGTGTTAAACCTGAGCCTGGATTAATCAAATCACTTCAGTTAGCCTTTGATGGCACAATGAAAAGGAAGTTGTATTTGGCAAAGAAACTGCATCTGGTTAGATGTATAATACCGTTAAAAACCTCATGTTCCAATTTTATAGCAAAAATTATGTTAGCTGTTTTCCAAACAATGTAATTTTACTGAGCTGTAGGTAGTTCAGTCCACTTCAGATGCTCCTACTTAAATGCAGACAATGTTTAGTGAAGGTATAAGCTGTTGCTAGGTAACTACTGAGAAAGCTAATAAGACGGCAGTATTTAGTGGCTCAGCAGATCTTAGGCACCAAAGTAGTTTTGTTTCTTAAAATGAGTTTACGAAGGGTTGGAGAAATAGTCAGAGTAATATATTGAACTGAATATTAGAATGTATTTATATCTTGTCCTTTAGATATATATTAGAGGTTTAATGTTTCTTATGCTGATATTCATAGACATATTAATACGAATAAAATAATGATTTAAAAAGAACAATCCAGACAACTTCTAGAAACTGATTAAGATTTAGCAAATGAAAATCTATGGAAGAAAGGAATTATCTGGCCCATCACTTCCCTTTTCAACATTTCAAATATTTTTTGAAATGTCTTTGCGACAAAAATCACATCATATTTTAAATCAGCCTGACTTAATTTATATCAACTCTACACTATAGCAGTACTTTAGTAGAAGAGCTATATTCAACCTTCTTATCATAAACCTTCTTATCAAACAGGCAGTAAATATCATGTATAGAATGTATTTGTTAGACGCAACAGAAAGAATTTGACAGTGATGCAGTAAAGTGGGTGATTGTGAATTGCAGCCCAGATTAGAGCTCTTCTTTCTACTCCATTGAATTTACAACTGGCTTTGTAATCCCTTTAACTCTAATAAATGCCTACTCATCTGAACCAAATTCTTGTGATCATGCAATCTACTCCAACTCTCCAACAGAAATAAGATAAACTTCATTCTGTAATGAAACAGAAGTTTTTCTGCTGGAAACAAAATAAATGTGGGATATATGCCATCCTCAAATAACCTTGTTACAGATATAAATGGTTTGGGCTTAGGGAAAGGTAGTACAGTTCCCAAGATTTTAGATAGATGAAACTGAATTGTTTGACATAGTAAATAAGGAGTGGGCTATAAGCAAAATTCAGGAAGACATGGACAAACTGGTGATGTGAGTAGACACACATGGCAGGTGCAAATTTCATTAGGATAAGGGTGAAGTGATGAGCTATGAAAGAGACAGTATAATATATCCACCTCCCCCTCTCTCCCTATTTATTTCAGAACACCCTTCCCCTCCCCCATTTCTGAAAAAGGGTCTAGGCCCAAAATGTCAGCCTTCCTGCTCCTCTGATGCTGCTTGGCCTGCTGTGTTCATCCAGCTCTCCACCTTGTTATCTATAATATAAATGGTGTTGTTTTGAGGGTGTTAAGAGAGCAGAAAGACCTGTGGATATCACAAATCTTTGAAGCTAGCAGGCCAAGTTCATGAAGTAGTGAGGAAAGCTTGTCAGATATCTGACTGTAAATAAGGACATTAAATTAAGAAAATCATGCTAAATTTCTACAAGTTACTGTTTCAGCATAACCTAGAATATTGTGTGTTATGCAGACCACCACACTATGAAAAGGACATTACACCTTGGAGGAGGTAAAAAGGAGGCATACAACAGATAAGGAATTCAGTTATTCACACAGAGATTGGAGAAATTGGGATTTTCTCCTCAGATCAGTAAAGGGGTCACCTAATAGCCTTATTCAAAATCCTGAAGAGTTTTCTTACAGAAATCTGAGAGAAATGGTTTCTTTAGACATGTGGATTGGTGACTAGAGACTGTAGATTTAAAATAACTGGCATAAGAGCTAGAGAAGAAACTAGAAAAAAAATCTTCACACAGAGATTAAGATCTGAATAAAATTGTGGTGGAATCAAATTCCATAGCAACTTCTGAAAGGACATTGGACATCTAATTGAAGAAGACTAATTTACAGAGTTATGTGCAAAGTCCCTGGGGTGTGGGACTAAATTAACCAACTCTTTCTAACAGCCAGCCAGTGAGGCCAAGTGGCCTCCTTTTGTATTTATAAGATTCTATGGTTCTATGAGATATATACTTATCAGGGTTATATTAACACAAATTATATCCTCCACTGATGGGATTTTGAAGAAGGTTGAATAAAATTTTCTGAAGCAGGTCAAAGTAATTGTCATGTTAAAGGCATGGAAGGTTTTAATATACTACCTTCTTTTACAGTAAATTTGATGTAGTAATGAAATATAACTTTATTGTTTTGATTTTTATGCAATGTGGCAAAACCTTGTTGGCGGGGGGGTGGGGAGCAGTCGCCAAATTGCTTAATTCTGCTCTGAATTCAAATACAAATTTCAGACAGCTAGTCTAGTTACGACTAAGCCATTAAATATGGAATGTGGCCAACTGCACTGTAGAATGCATTTTGCTTATTGGACCACACCTGCTGGATTGTTTGATGGATCAATAAATATTTGTTCATTAGTATTTCACAAGATACGAAATATAGGCAGGTAAATGTAGTTGAGCTGCGCATTGACCATAGTCTAACTGAGTTGTTAAACAGCTTCAAGGGGCAGAATCACAACTAAATAACGTATTTAACAGCTACTATTGAGTCTTTGCCAATTCTCACTTGTGAATTAAAAGTCTCGCCCCCTGAGCACCATATTTGTCAGATGTATGTGATCTGTTACGAGCATACAGTACTGCCTTTTCCTTTCTGATTTTACAGCTTGCTATTAAATTGAAAAAAAATTTAAACTCTTATGTTCAGCAGTTGGATGTCTTTTCCTAAATTTATTCCAGCAATTGTGTATTTTATGTCAGAGATAATTCAAAGTAATTATTTGTTTTAAAGGATCTTGACTTCTTGCAGATAGTGAGTTTTGTTTTTAATTTTAGGATTATTTCAGATTAATTATGCAAAGTAAAATCATTCTCTAACAGACAGATAAATGGCAACAAAAGATGACTGCTGACTGAATGGAAAAGGACATAAAAATGATTAGGCTTTTCTAAATTATGCAAATACCTAGGGCTTGCTTTAGGCCCATTTTGTGAAGGTTAAGTGGCAGAGCTACCATCCTACATCAAGCAAGTAACTGAATGTCTTATTAAGGGTCAGTAAAGCCCATTTAAAGGAACCCAATTGGCACTTGGGCCCAGTACTCTGGGGAGGCCATAGGCCATTCTGCTTGCTTGTGTGCTGCAACAACAGCAAGTTGCACTATCACGAGGCTCCCTTCCTGAGCGGTAACCTGATTGCAGTTTTTTAGTTTAAACTATAAGATGTTGGAAAGAGAGCACCTCCATTTTTGAAGCATCCTTTCTCTTACCAACTTTCCATTGCGGTCTGTTTCTTCCAAGCTCAGATTGACCGTCCAACTTTGAAAGTCCACCCACTGGCTTAATTGAATAGTTGGCCCACCCTCTGGATAATGTAAAGCTAAGTGGGAGTGTGTGTTTTGAGTACGATATAAAGTGGCTTCAGGAGGATTTGGACAGATATAGTGAACGGGCAAGAAAATGGCAGAATGAAATTAATGAAAAAAATGTGAGCTATCCATTTTGGTAAGAGAAACAGATATGCAAAGTATTTGTTAATTGACAGGTTGGAAAGTGTAGGTGTCTGAAAGGATTAAAGTGTCTCTGTCACTAAGTCACTAGGCCAACATGAAGGTGCAACAAGCTTTTAGAAAGGCTAACAGAATGTTAGCCTTTATTGTAACAGCCTCTGTGTACAGGAGTAGTGAAGTCTTGCTTCAGTTGTATTAAAGCTCAATTAAATCACACTTGGAGTGTTGTGTGTTTGGAGTTTTGGTCTCATTTTCTTAGGTAAGATGTCACTGCCAGAGAGGGAGTGGAACAGAAGTTCACCAGATCTGTTCCCACGATGGCAGGACTGTCCCATAAAAGGGAGATGGGACAAACTGCACTCGTATTCTGTAGAGTTTCGAAAATGAGTGGTGGTCCAATTGAAACTTGCAAAAATTGGGATTGATAGGGTAAATGCAGATAAGATGCTTCCCTGGTTGAGGAAGCTAAAACAGTGGCCACACTTTAAAAATAAGGGGCATGCCACTTAGGTCCAAGTTGAGGAGAAATTCTTTTACTCAGAGGGTTGTGAACCTTTGGAATTCTCTACAACAGAGGGCCGGGAAAGCCCAGTCATTGAGAATGTTTGAGGTAGAGATTGATAGATCTCTGATTACTCGCAGTGTACAGGATTATAGGATGGGTTGAATAAAAGGCACTGAAGTGTTCAATTGGCCGTGATCATGTTAAATGGTGGAGCAGGCTTACTGGATGAATGGCTTATTCCTGATCCTATGTTTCTATTAGTTGGCTACCCTGAAGAAAATCACATCAAGTGATTGTTTGTGATTGTGACTTCTGAGCCATGTTTTGGCATGAACAGTAACATCTGGAAGCTCAAAGGGAAAATTCTACTTCTATAGTCACCAAAGCAGGAAATCTTCCTATTTAAGGCAGCTATTCCCTTTTTTAGTCACTATTCCTGTTTGCAGCTGACAGTCAGACCACACTATGTGTCAACTTAATTGGAAATCCAACCTAAAAATCTCAGAGGACATAGCAATTTAAATGTGAAGGTTGGTTAGACTCATTGCTTCTATTACATTAAATTGACTTGTAGAATACTGTTTCTCATAAAATCAGTCAACTGCAATCAGTAAATAATTGCAGCTAGACTGTTTTGAAAATTTTCTTTAGCTACGAATTACAAATAAAATTTACAGTTTGAGCTGTATTTCATTATTAATTTTATACGTTTTTGTGAATTTTGGTGATTAAGATGTGTGAATGGCAGTGCTGGAAATAGAATTGACTGTGGGACAGTAGGAACTTGACCTTAAGCATTAGTGCTGCAGTTACATGCTATGAGACCTTGTTGTTCATTATTGAAACATTCAAGAGTATTTCTAATACCCAGGTATCTTCACTGAGTACAGATTTATTTTTAATCTCAAACAACAACTTTTCATTATTCTCAAACGTGTTTAATATGATGAAAATAGTTGTACCTATTTAATAAAGATAAGTTTCACAAACTACTTACTGAATCAGATTTATACTGAATCATCATTTCCTCTTCGCACTGTTGGATAGTTACTGTTTTTGAATTTGGTGGCATACTAATATTGTGTCTTGATGGTCGTGGCTCTAGCTTTACATTCATTCTCAAGGTCTCCAGCCTTTGTACATTGGGCTCAGAGGGACTCATAGGTCTGAAGTTCTCTTTATTTTGTACAGTGGGTTTTAGCCTCTGAACTCCATAGCTGAGAAAGTCTGGATGATAATCTTCCATCATGTTTTTGGAACTGAAATTACTGTGGTGTTTTTCTGAAAATGTATCTTGCACGTAGGAATCCATGCGTTGTAGGGGCTTCATTTCCATTTCATAGTTACTAAGTTTTTCTTCATCCTGCTCATGCAGCTGGCTACCTGAATCATGATTATGCAACCGATAGGTTGTCCATGAAAATGTCGGTGACTCTGTCCCTTTTCTGTCAGTGGGTCTGTGTTTGTATTTGCATTCGGTACCTCTTTCCCTGATCTCCTCAGCTATTGATGGTGTGTTTGAGTGGCTGCTTCCTTTGCTTACTCCTCTTCGATTGCCCGATCGCAGCTTATCATTCCAGTTAGTAGGTCTTGGGTATTCATCCCTTCCTCCTTCCAGCAGCACCTGAATGTCTTGCCCTTTGTCATGTTCTAAATTCACCTGTCTTACAAGCCTTGCATTCTTTTTTCTGTACTTTGGTGGTGATGTTGATGGTGAACTGGATGATCGGCTTGGCACAGGGCTGTGTTCTGGAGTAAGATCTGGAGGTGTTGTTCCCTTCCTGTAGAGCTCTGGACTTTCTTCCTGAGGTGGACTTTCTGATGAAATTCTGTCTATCTCATTTTCAGTTGAGTTCTGGTGTTTTGGCCTTTGATACTCAATTCCTGATGGGAAAACAATTACATTGTTAAACTTTCAATAAATCTTCAATATGAACACTCCTAATCTTTATCACTGAACGTTTTTATGATGAATAGTTCCTTACTAATATGATTATAAAAGGGCAAAGCTGTGGTACCTCTGATCTATTATTATGGAACACAAAGCCTTAAGATACATACATTCTGGTCACCATTATCCTTGTGTGAAAATTATTGTTCTTTATTTGATACAATGAACAGTGCAGTAAAATCCTAGTCAGTTAAATCCCAGGGGAGCCAGCAACAAGCAACAGTCAGAAGTCACACAAAACCAGTCATAGTCCAGCAGGTTTATTTGAAGTCATAAGCTTTCGGAGTGCTGCTCCTTCATCAGGTGAAATGACGAAGGAACAGTGCTCCGAAACCTTGTGATTTCAAAGAAACCTGTTGGACTATAACCTGGTGTCATGTGACTTCTGACCTTGTCCACCTCAGTCCAACACCGGCACCTCCACATCAAATTTCTGTAAAGCAGACACCCAAATGACAGCCAAGTAGGCCCCATTTCTGATGCAATCAAACAGGCCTTTGAATACAATCTATGTCAAAAGCTGCACATTAAAATGCCAAATGAAAACACTAAAATAGTAAATGTGTGAAAAAGAGATCACAAGAACTGCAGATGCTGGAGTCAGAGACAACACAGTGTGGAGCTGGAAGAGCACAGCAGGCCAGGCAGCATCGGAAGAGCAGGAAAGTTGACATTTCAGGTCAGGACCCGAAATGTGTGAAAAAGTCTTTATTCAGTTTGTTCACACCTTACAGTGATCTGACCTTGTAAAAGGCAAGAGATTTGCTTTGAAAAAAAAGTTGGGATTTAGTTCTGGAAAATTGTAATCTTTTTTACTGACTGTGTAGTCTTTACATGAGCACAACATAATCTACCATGTTGTTAAGGCAGTCAAAAAGGTTTTTACTGTTTACATGATGCACGTGAAACCCTGGATCACCTCTGCTGCGTTTTAGCTTCAGTAAGGGAGACAGATGGCTGAGTGGGCAAATATTCTTTGGAGCCTTCAGGGTCACTGACCTCCTTGGTCTCTTTGGTAGAAGAATGTACTGCATCTATGATTGTATGGCATCGTTTAATTCCGTGCAAGTTTCAAAGTTACCTCTGCCAGAATTTCCATGCCAGCCTCGCAGAACCAAGCAAAAGGTATTTTATCATTTGATCAGTTTCACTCTGCTCCTTCTTGTTCCCATAATTTTGTGCAGTTGTAATCTGCTTATATAAATAGATCCATACAAATGAAGAGGAGGAGTAGGCCATTCGGCCAATTTGAGACTGGATCCTTCATCTCAATGCCATATTACTACTCTTTTCACACACCCCTTGATGCCTGTAAAATCTAAACATTTATCTATCTTCTTCTTGAATATATTCAGTTTCTTGGCTTTCACAGCCTTCCACGGTAGAGAATTCCATAAGTTTACTACTCTTTGAGTGAAGAAATTTTTCATCATCTTAGTCCTAAATGGTATAGCTTGGAATTATGTTCCTTGGGTTCCAGACTTCCCAACTAGGAAAACATCCTTCCTGCATCAGAGATAGTAAGAACTGCCAATGCTGGAGTCAGAGATAACACAGTGTGGGGCTGGAGGAACACAGCAGGCCAGGCAGCATCAGAGGAGCAGGAAAGTTGACGTTTCAGGATGTTTCTTTCTGAAGAAGGGTCCTGACCAGAAACGTCAACTTTCCTGCTCCTCTGATGCTCGCTGGCCTGCTGTGCTCCTCCAGCTCCACATTGTATTATCCTTTCTGCAGCTTGTCTGCCCACTGCCTAATCAAACTAACCTTTCCTCATAGGACAGTCAGGTCAACACCAGTATTAGCTTAATGAACTTCTGCTACACTGCCTCATTGGCAAATATTTCCTTTCTTAGGCAGGGAGGCCGTAACTGCATTGCAATACTCCAGGGGTTGTCTCACCAAGGCCCTGTATAGCCCAGTGCAGTAGGAACAGTTGACAGTTATAGTTTCCATCACATCTTCCATGCCTTTTTCATCAGGAACATAGTGCGTTGTTAGTCTCATAGTGTGTGGTTAGCATCTCTATTTGTGAAATAATGGGCCCAGCCAGGAAGCCCCTGCCCTCCACCAAGTTCTAAAGAAAGCCACCAGCTTTTACCAGGCAGCCTCACCATGGTGTATAAGTCTGTTGCTGGACATTTAAGGCCATTAACTGACCTCTAGGCAGGAAGACCAGCTTCAAACATGCCTTCCTTTAACTTAAGCCTGCTCCTCCTTCCTGATCCCAAATAAACAAATTCAGTGCAGGAGTTGGTCATTAACCCTTTGAGTTTCTTCCACGATTTGATAGATCATAGCATAATCTGATGTGGCTTCTAATTCCTGACTCCCAAAGACCCCTCAAATCCTTTGTCAAACAACAATCTGTTGAACTCAGCCTTAAAAAATTTAAACAACCCACACACACCACCCACATCCTTTCCCCACTGAAAAGCAAAATTAAATTTCGCCCTATAACACTCCTTGATGTATCACAACCACTAATGTATTATACATTGTTGATTGTTCCCTCACCACTACAAAACTCACTATTTATTTCCTTTTTTCTGCTAGTCTTGTTTCTGTATATTTGTTTCACTTTTACTGCACTAAGTGCGATTTTGACTAACTTTGACTGCTATAAACATTTTCTGTGATTAACCTAACATAACAGTTCACATCATTCCTTCTGCATGAAGCAGAAGTATGACCCTGTTGAAATGAAAAATTTCAATATCTTTATCCAGAAAAAAATCAAAAATGAAGAATATTTTTTCTGCGATAGTAGGAACTGCAGATGCTGGAGACTCTGAGATAACAAGGTGTAGAGCTGGATGAACACAGCAGGCCAAGCAGCATCGGAGGAGCAGGAAGGCTGACGTTTCGGGCCTAGA